GGGGGGCACTTTTCACCCAAAAAAATGGGCTGAAAATCTCGGCTTATACTCGAGTATATACGGTAGGTCTAAATAAGGTCTAAAATAATAAAAACTGTATATAAATATAGTTATGTAAATCTAAATAATTTTATATTAATAATATGTAGTCTTCTATACAGCCAGCAGGTGGCGCTCTAGTCTGCTTTTTACACCTGAAGCATTGTATCCCTCTTAGTTGTGCTGAAAGAATCCTGTTAACTCTGAGTTATCCCTTATCAGAGGATATAGGGCTCTGCCACACAAGGGATCCAGACAAAAGGCCTAATTTAAATGTGTTGCTTTCTCATTGGCTGGATGAGAAGGGCATTGCTCCCTCACTGGTGAGTAACATTCTGCAACCTTTATGTTAATGAGGTAATGACACCTCGCTCAACTGGCCAGTGAGGGAGCGACATGTGGAAGAAGGTGAGTATTTTATCTAAAGTTTTTAGTAGTAGTAGATGCACAGATACCAAGGTCTTGTACTTAGTTCAAGTACAGATACTTTTCCAGCTCCAAGACTAGACTAGAGAGAAATTCAAACGTTAGGCGGCAGCTGTTATTTTTAAGGAGAACACGGAGCTCCTGGGATTTGTACATCCCTGTTTTAATGTATTGGGATGCCCCGATACCATTTTTTCCAGACCAAGTAAAAGTACTAATACTTGTCCCAAGTACTCACAGATACAATTACTAATACTTTTTTGTTTTAGTTTTTCTAAAACAATACTGAATTACAGACTAATGATTTCAGGACAGTGGTGGAGCGCCAGAGCCAGGTCCCAGCTGCAACCTCTGCAACCCTGGTAGTTCTCGTGAAAATGCCAAGTATCTGCACTGGTATTTGAACTAGTATCTGCGCATCCCTAGTTTTTAGTGATTCTGTCCGTGTAAAATTGTCGTGTCATCAAAGCAAGCTTTGTCTGCTGTGTTGTCTCTTAAACTAACCCAGAGTGCTATGGGAATCTATTGTCATGTATAAATTGTTGTTTGTAAATTACCATATTTTTCTGTCTATAAGACGCCCCCATGTATAGGACGCCCCCCACTTTTCTTACCCAAAATTCAGAAATCAATATTTTCCATGCTTTTTTGCATAACTGATTACATCCAGTTTAAATTTTGCAGAGTAAGACAGCCGCTTACTGGTACCGGTATTTTTTTTTTTCTGACATTTTTATGGGCTCCCTGTTGCATCTGGGCACTGGCTACACGCTCTCCGCAGCATCAGCTGACGTCGGGTACATAAGGCTCATGATTGGAGGAAACCTGTTAGCTTGTCTCTGCAATTGGAAGTTTCACTCGTGAGGCTAGTTTGCAGAGATATCAGCAGTTTCGCAACCGCGGTTCTCCTCTCGGCCCCCCGTGTATAAGACGCCCCTCCATTTTTAGGTAAATATTTTTAAGAAAAAGTATAGTCTTATACACGGAAAAATACAGTAAAGTTTGTGTGAATGTGCAATATATATACACGGCCACTGGTTACTGGCAGACATTTTACATCCTGTTCAAACTGGTGGGGATCTGAGCAGTTTTCTACATTGGTGCAGGTACAGAACCTGAGCCAATTTCTATTTCACTTGAAATAGTGGGTGGTGTAGCTAGACCTGACCTGAAACAGGTGTATCTGCTTTGTTAATGTTGACAAGCACCGTTATAATGGCAAAGGAAGCTTTGTTAAATCCTCCCCGAGTCTTTAATGCAAGAGCTTAAACTGATGATTTCTACACAGTCACTGAAGATCACATGCTGATAGAAGACATCCCAGCCTCTGAGTAACTCCATCTCCAGTAACTGCATTAGCACATTGCATGAAGAGTTTCTTCATTAGGGCCGACATGATTATTCAGACCATACAAGTAATGGGGATAAATCCAGATGCTGCAAGAAGGAGATAGGTTGCCCATGTTTAGCATTGAACTTTTAGACCAAGCAACTGGCAGAGTAGATAGAGAGAGGCGTACTACACTGCTAGTCATTTGGTCTAGGTCCAATTGCTAAATCAAAGAGGACAAATTATTTAATATCACGAACAATCAGATCTGGTGTGTGAAACACAGGAAGACAAAATTAGGAACCAAGCAGATGGGTGAGGGGCGATACCTAAAGAAAAGTGGGTACATGTTCTCACTTAGGCTTATATAGCCAACCTCTAAATCCAGCCAGGAGAATGACCTACTCACCCACAAGAAAACTATACCCACATCTGGACAGTTATTTGTTGTTAGGGGTGAGCTGAACCTGTCCTATATCTATGCTCCTCAGTAAATCCCAATCTGTATAGTAAGGTTGCATTATGCCATATACATAATTTTTGTTGAAATAAGATTGTGAATTCTGATGTTTGAACAGGTTTGCGCTTCCTGGTCAGGCTCTGCACCGATATTGGGTTAAAAGAAGTCCAAGAATATGCAACAAAGCTGAAAAAAGTTGAGAAGATGAAGGAGTTAAAGGAACAGGTAATCGTGTGTGTGTGTATATATGTGTATTTACACTATATTGCCAATAGTATTGGGACATATCATTGGATTCAGGTGTTCCAATCACCTCCATGGCCACAGGTGTATACAATCAAGCACCTAGGCATGCAGACGCTTCTACAAAAATTTGTGAAAGAATGGGTCGCTCTCAGGAGCTCAGTGAGTTAAAGCGTGGTACCGTGATAGGTTGCCACCTGTGCAATAAGTCCATCCGTGAGATTTCCTTGGTACTAAATATTCTGCGGTCACCTGTTAGTGGTGACCATTAAATATTTAGTTGCTTCTAAACAGTGGTCACTGTTGCTTCTAACAGTGGTCACTGTTAGAAGCAACTGGGAACAACAGCAACTCAGCCACGTAAAATGACAGAGCGGGGTCAGCGCATGCTGAAGCATACAGTGCACAGAAGTCTCCAACTGTCTGCAAAGTCAATAGCTACAGACCTCCAAACTTCATGTGGCCTTCAGATTGGCATAACAGTGTGTAGAGAGCTTCATGGAATGGGTTTCTATGGCTGAGCAGCTGCATCCAAGCCTTACATCACCAAGTGCAATGCAAAGCGTCGGATGCAGTGGTCTAAAGCACGCCGCCACTGGACTCTAGAGAAATGGAGACGTGTTCTCTGGAGTGACAAATCACACTTGTCTGTCTGACAATCCGATGGATGTGTCTGGGTTTGGCGGTTGTGAGGCTGTTATAGCTGCAAAGGGTGGGCCAACTCAATATTGAACCCTATGAGCATGAGACATCATTTTCACACATGGATGGGAAGAAATGTGACATTGTATAAGCTTATCAAAAGGATGCCACAGCAAATCCTGGCCGTAATAAAAGCTGAAGGAAGTCCAACAAATATTATCTTGTGCAACTTTTTTTGACCAGGCACTACATATACCATATACAGTAAGTATTATGAATTACATTTGCATAAATAGCTTTTTAACATGCCAAATGTGCATTTTGTTTTATTGCTGTTCCTTTCATAATATTCTTTCCAGCCCTTTTTAGAGGATGAGAAAGCAAACTATGAACACATAAGGAATTCATTATAAAGATCTTATCCTCCTTACAGCATATGTTTCCCTCAATTCCTCTCCCTGACTCTAATGCAGAGATGTCACGCAGATAAAGCCAAACAAAGCCCAAAGCTCACATACTGTGAGCTGGGGTAAACACCAATCTATTGCACTCCTGAAATGCCAACCTGTGTTAGCATAATGAGGGGAATTTACTGGGACTGGAGCAGACACAATCTGGAGCAGTTGCCCATGGCAACCAATCAGCTTCTATCTTTCATTTTCAAAGCTTAACTGAACAAACGGAAGAGATAAAGAGCAAAATTGATTGGCTGCCATTGGCAACTACTCCAGATTCTGTCTGCTATTCTATTTTAGCAGGATTACCAGCCCATGTACTAATCTCACAAATGGATCCGATGCTGTGTCTTTGTGGCCATATACACCAATCAACCATCACATTATGACCACTAAGAGGTGAAGTGAATAACATTGATTATCTTGTTACAATGGCACCTGGAAGTGAGTGGGATATATTAGGCAGCAAGTGAATATTTTGTCCTTGAAGTTGATGTGTTAGAAGCAGAAAAAATGGACAAGTGTAAGGATTTCAAAGACTTTGACAATGACCAAATTGTGATGGCAAGACAACTGGGTCAGAGCAACTCCAAAACTGCAGCTCTAGTGTGATGTTCCCGGTTTGAAGTGGTCAGGATCTACCAAAAGGGGTCCAAGGAAGAAAAATGTTTAAAGTGACACTAAACTCAGGAGTTAAATCTTAAAACTGCATTCAAGTACATTAACTATTAACAAAAATGGATCTTATTTGTGTATCACTCGGCTGTGGACCCTCACATCATCTCTGAATTGGTGCTGACACTGTCCTTCTTTCTGGAGGGGGGCTATTTTGTTCCCCATGGTCCCTGAGTGTGTTGGAAAGTAGCCACCGCTCCAAGCTCGCTCCTGTGATGGACCACAAGCTCACGATTTAGTTTACCCATTTGTATTGGCGTTATAATCTTATCACGTGTAAATTCCCCTCTGTGTCTTTAACTGCTCATGGCATCCCTATGTAGCCAAGAATTTCATTTTTTAAATATTCAGGTTTAGATTCCCATCATTCTTTTAGAAGACATTTTCATATCGGGATTCAGCCAGATAATTAATTCAGTATCCTCCCTTCCAGCCTGCTCCTTTGTCCCAGGAATATGTCATTTGTTTTATAGAGAATTTATTACAAGCTTTGCAAAGAAAATGTAGAGAATGAATGTTATTAATATGAGTGTATCAGAGCTGAATTGTGTGCCAGCATGCCATATGTCGGGAATTAAGCCTTTTTTGTACTATTCTCCTGTATATACAGTTCCATAAAAGTATTCACCCCCTTGAGTATGTGGACAGGTCTGTATCAGCTTTGCATATCTGGATAGTGCAGCCATAAATTCTCTGGCTCTGCTGTTCCAGGACAACTGTTTTTGTGCACATTTGTCTTGCTGGAAGACATATTTTCTTCTAAGGTTCAGGTTTCTTGCAGGCTGCATCAGGTTTTTCTCCCTTCCTGCATTATTTTTACCCTCACGGAATGATGATGTCACTACCAGGCTTTACAGTGGTTATGGTGTGGCTATGATGATGTGTAGCGTTTGGCTTATGCCAAGCACAGTATTTAGTCTGATGGATAAAAAGCTCAATGTTGGTCCCATGAGACCATAGATCCTTCTTCCAGCTACCCTCAGAGTCTGCAGTCCTCAGAACCCGTTTTTTATGAACCATAAGTGAAAGGTCATGTAATTTGTAGTTAAAAGTGGCTTTCTTTTTGCCAGTCTACTATAAAACAGTAACTGGTGAAGCAACCATAAAACCTACGTACAAATCTACATTTACTTAACTTTGGTCCCATACACAGATAAGGGGTAATGCACGTATATGCCACAACCACTACTTAGTTCCAGTATTTCCACTTCTGCTAAACACGGAATGGTTGAAAGGAGTGTGATTAAAAATTTTTCTTCATTCCACGTTGTATAAATCATTCTTTCTGTGAATAGTAACAAACTACACTTGTGACACTTCTGACATATGACAATGTTGAGGTTAGGAATATATTGCCTGCTGAATTTGCCTCCCTTTTTAATCTTTAAATCCTCTTCTATGTGACATGGGTACTCCCCCATCTGAGGTGCACATTCAACTATAGATCTGACTTTGTCACACTCCCTTCCCCTGTTCTTCCATAAAACAATGAGAGTTCTGCTATTGGCCACTAAGGCACATTCATTAGCTGGTAGGATGGAGCATCTCAAAGCTGATGTGGAGGCCTTTTTTCATAAAGCATGCACAAATGAAGAATTATAGATGAATAGAGCTCATTATCGTTTGTAAGGGTGTTCCTCACCAGCCATTCTACCAATCTAAGCAAAATTTGAACTATGCATGGACTCCTTATAAGATGTCTTCTGATATGTTTCTGCTGCATATTACAAAATGTAAAAAACCAACTGATTGGACAACACCTTCTCTTCAGTTTGTCCTGTATTGTTTATCTTCATTAATTTAGTGAAATTCACTAAGCTTCCTCTTCTTTTTATAGCGTGTAAGATCTGGCAGAGACAGTAGTGCCCGGAGTCGAAAGGATGGCAGAGAGGGCAGTGCCAGTAGTGGTAAGTGCAAGCTGAACATGATATCCATTGAATTTTGCTGTTTATCACATCTGAATTGTACAAGGAAACATATGATATGGCAAATAATACCACAAAAATGGTAACTGCTGGGCAATCTAGACTAGACACAATCTTGTGGTGGTCAGTGCAGTTCGAAGGGTTATATCAACAAGATACCTTCTGTGTAACATTGGAGGTGGACTCCAGCTTCACTCTTCCATCATTTTCTGGTAAGAATATTAGAAATGGTGAGGAGTTTCATCGCCCTGTAAAAGCTGGAGACCACTACTATATTGTTTTATACTGCTTAGAGAACCCTACCTGAATTATTCTGCATACAACTTTGTAAAAGGGCATGACTGCCCGAGAGGAACCAACACTTATAAAAGCACAAGAGTGTCGGTTGTATATGTTTAAATGAAATGTTGAGTTCACCTAATAAATAATGTAGGGAGTGTGTGCAATACGCAATATTTCCTGATCCAGCAATTATTTACACAGCCCAACAAAACAAAACAAATTTTTTTTTCTTGTTGCCTTGCTTTTTATACCTATTCTTGGGTTCATTGGAGGCGTTGATTTAGAAAATTGCATTAGCTAGACTGCATCAGCTCTAGTTTCTTATATATAGATGAATTTATATAATTTTTTAGTAATTTTTTTAAAAGATCTTGCTGATTAACCTGTTCTTCTGTTACCTAGTTTGTGTTTTTGTGTACAAGTTAGCGATATAGTGAGAGTGGTTATGTACTTCTAACTGTCATTTTACATTGGATTCTAAAGGGTAAGTATAAACCAAGTCAATGGCGCCTTTTCATCGACAGTTTGAAACATAGTTTGAAATGTGTGCTTTTAAACAACGGCTCCATTCCAATCGGTCACTCCACCAGAATGAAAGAAATGTACAAGTGTTGGAGTCTCTTTAGTGCTGGAAAAGATAAATGACCATGAAAATCAATGAGTGATTTGTGTAGACTTGATTGGAATGTTTGTATCATAAGCCTGTGCTTTTGGTTTGAAATAAGTAGATTTAGTGAATTACACTTTTCTTTAAAAAAATTTCATGCTACAAGGAGTTTCAATAAAACACCACATTAAAATATCCTAATTTTTGACAGGCGACCAGAGTGAAGAGTGGTATATGGCATTTATGCTGTACCTCAAAAACTACAACTGATTGGTGCCATTTTTGCAATCAGTGGGCCAAAGGGCCAACTGATTCCAAAGTGGTGATTGGGAAAGGTAATTTCCAACTTTGTAAGTGATTAGCATTTATTGTGGTAATAAAGAGGTGCAGTGATGATGTATATTTGTGCACATTTTCATGACTCCCATTGCAGGCTTTCTTCATTTTTTATTAACGTTTTACTAGGCCTGAAGCCTAGAAATTCACACTTTCCTCCACAGGAACTTCAGTCTGACACCGGTGTCGGATTGTAAAGCAGGCAGTAAAGTTTCTATTGAGCAGAGGTCTATATCATGGTCCATGGTTCCTATGTGACATAATTTGGAGGTGACAGGTTCTCTTTATGGAGACATCTGGGGTCTATTAGATCCCTTATGTCTCCCCTGCCCTCCAATACAGACAATCAAACACAGCATTGTGCTTGATCATCTGTTTACCCAGCACTTCAGCCAGGTTTTGACAGCTCTGAAGCAGGAAGCACTGAGAGCACAGCACTTCCTGCTTCATTCATCACAGAGCAGATCAGGGAACGGACTTTCCTCGGTCTTCTCCCGCTTTCCATCCTGACACCCTCTGCCCTCATCCGTGCCCCCCAGCAGAGCGGCAACCTTAAGTTGGCGGGGTGGGGACCAGACCTGGTATGGTAGGTAGGTGGCCCTGTCTGATGTCATTGGTTGCTAGGATACCAGTGGTCCTAGCAACCAATGACTGCAGCGGAGGGGGGTCCTGTGCTGGGTTATGGCTGGCAGTGGATGCATTGGTCTCGGGGGCCGGTGTATCCACTGTCAGGCAGCCATAACCCAGTGCAGGTTGGCGATCGCAGTCCAGATAGAAACGCCACTCTGTCTGTTTCCGGACCACGGTGTGCCATTTAGTGACAGCTATTGTACAGTATGGTGCCATCAGTCTAAAATTTTAGCAGTGTGCGCCCCCCTCGGGACCCCCTCAACAAAAGCCAATTTTCCAATTGACTGTTGTTGAAGGACCAGTCTGAAAATTCTCATCCCAACAGTGACTGCAGCCAATCACACTGTGTTGTTTCACCCACCAGCTTCTACATTCTACAGGACACAGTAGTGACCTAGGCATCAACCAAAACAACCACAGTGCCAATGTGCTGATCAGTCTTATTTACTAAACTGGTTACAGGGTACTTTTCTTTCCACAATTGACCTAAAAGGAGCTAAAGTCTGACACGAGTGGGCTTCGGATTTCTCTCCCCTCCTCAGTTCAGAATAACCACATATAAACGGGGAAGGTAATTGATCACAAAGAAAAAAAAAAGGCTTGTATTATACTGTTTTGTTTTGTGCCGTGTCACTGCCAGTATTCTAAAAGCATTTCCAGGAATAATTTGTATTTAAAATGAACTTTAAAGAGGTGTACTTAAAATATAATAATAATACAAGAAGATGAAGAGCAATTTACATACCAGATTTGTATAGTGATATTAATGTCTGGGGGAAAAGCAAGGACATTTCCAGGGACAAAGCTACTTGGAAGTCAGGGAGTGTTGTTATCTGAGAGTTCTATTACATCAGACCTGCTAGAGGGTCCCTAGAGACCTATACAAAGGAACAGCAACAATTTAAACATTACCAGTACTCCCAGGCTGGAGGCCTATGGAGGAGCTATTGAAGTGAATAGGGGATTGTGGTAAGAGGTTGACTCTGCAGTCCACATTTATTGAAGAAAATTACAATGCCAGTTTTTTTAATCATGTCCATTTCTGTTGATATATTTCCTGTAAGTGACACTTGCTATGGAATGGGTCTTACTATACTGTAACAAAAAATCTGCCGTTTTGCTAGAACTGGAAATTTACATCTATTTGTATGAATATTTTTACAGCAGATCATGTATTATTTAATGGTTCTTTAAAAAGACATTTTCATAACTGTGAAATACTCCTCACGTCCGGGCTGCTATTAAAATGCTGCAGATTTGTTACAAAGTCTCACCAATCAATGACGAGATAGGACAGGGCAAGCCAGACCTAGTGTCCATTCAAGCTAGGTACATTGCAGAGCACCCTAGGTAGATTGCAGAGGTCTTGGAGTACGCTACAGGGGACCAGAAGGTGGGATTCTGACAGTCAAATCTCCAACACTTCTAGGTAGTCAGAACTTTCTTGGTCCTTCCTGTCACCACACCCTCATTCCTATGATAGGATTGCTTCACTTGCCAACTGGTTCTTCTTGGTACTGTCCTGACAAGCGCTGGGAAAGTGAGTATCAATAGGTGGGGGTCAATCTTACAAGTGAACCTGTCTTTGCCCTGAATAGGTAATGTGACAGAGAGTCTTTAAGATCTGTTGAGATAAGATAGCAGAGCCTGCATATGTACTAATGTACTAAACAAATATGGCTGCCCTTACACACATACAGTATATAATTACAAGTTTATATAGAAACAAAGTTTTTTAAATATTTAACCTCACCAATAACATTATTTACATCATGCTGGCTGTGACTGTGGTCCCAACTTCCTGGAGATCATTTACAAGCTCCTCCCGTGTAGTTCTGGGCTTATCCCTCACTTGTCTCATAATCATCCTTATCCCATGAGGCGAAATCTTGCATGGAGCTCCAGACCGAGGGCGATTTGATGGTTATTTTGTATTCCTTCCATTTGCAAATAATCGCTCCAACAATTGTTTCCTTCTCATCGAGATTCTTGCTGATAGTCTTGTAGCCCATTGCAGCCTTGTGCAGGTGTACAAGCTTGTCCCTAACTTCCTTTGACAGCTCTTTGGTCTTGCCCATGGTGGTGAGGTTAGAAATGAAAGAAAGAGATTCTGTGGACAGATGTCTTTTACATACATAACGAGTTGTCGTTAGGAGCACCTTCTTAAATTGACAGGACTAATCTGTGTACCACATAGCCAGTCTGTGGGAGGAGCCAGAATTATTGTTGGTTGGTAGGGGATCAAATACTTATTTTACTCACTGAACTGCAACTCAATTTATAACATTTGTATCGTGTGTTATTTATAGATTTTTGGTTGCTATTCTGTCTTTATCATTTAAAATACACCTATGATAAAAATTATAGACCTTTCATTTCTTTGTAAGTACGCAAACGTACAAAATCTGCAGGGGATCAAATCGTTATTTTCCTCACTGTAAGTGTTTCTGTGTGAGCTGGGATTGAAGTTCTGCCATGCTGTGCAATGTACGAGTATCAGCAAAAACATTTACAGAGAAATCACACTGTTGGCGGTCAGCGCACTCTGCCTGAAAAACACGCCTTGAGGACAGAGAATGTTTTATATAAAATAGCTGACATCCACCCATTCCACAGCACATGAAAGTCATGAACTCCGGCGCAGTTTAGTGCTGCGTTTGGTCATATTTACCCCAAAAGAGAAGCAGAAAATATCTGTCAGCTCTGAATGGAAGATGAAGCTGCAGAGTCAGATTTGGGTCAGTAAAGGATTTCTGGACTAAAAAAGCGCGCAGTCCAATAATCAGAGAATGCAGCACTTTCATTGAGATTTGGAGTGATTATTGCTAGGTTTACCTTTAAAGGGAAATTTCTCCATTTACCAAAAAATAATACATGCACACATCTTCTTCAAAGAAAAAAAATATTATTTTTTGTATTGGAGCCAGTAATACATTGCAACCACCTCAGCTGTGAATCATGGTAGGTGTGTGATAGTGCTGGACCAAAGTGGGTACAGGTAAAGCCAAATTCATCAAAATAGAATGGGGGGATATATCAAAACTGAAGCAGACAAAATCTGGAGCCATTGCCCATAGTTACCAATCCGCTTCTATCTCTAGTTTAAGTTTTGAAATTGAAAGATAGAAGCTAATTGGTTGCCATGGACAGTTGCTCCAGATTCTGATAAATTCCCTTGTGTATTCTTTGCCAGAGCTTAGTTTATGGTAGAGGTGAGGACCTGATTCTGGGTCTAGGCTGCTGCTTTTCTGATCACAATACTCCAATTGCTCGACAGATGAACAACTTCTAAGTATGTGGTTGAGAGCTCCTGGTACACACTTTCCTCTCACTTGCAATCTGTTTCAAATCTTTGTTACAGAAAATTGAGAGCAATGTCCCGTGTAAAGCGCTTTTCAAAGGGCGGAGGGGGGTGGGGTTTTAGGTGTGGGGTTTCTGGGAGTACAACCAGAAACAGGAAGTTGGCAGTCTGGTGGGTGATAGGGAAAAGGGGGGAGAGAGAGGGATGGCAGTGTTGTGGGGGTGTCTTGTGCTGGTGTGCGGCTTTTGCTATGTCCGGACCGCGGTGTCCGACGTGTGTGCTACAAAACAAAAAATTGGAGACGGAAGCGCCACAACCTAGCGCAATGACAGTGTTGTAAAAGCTGGGGGTGATTGGTACTCTATTAACCCAACGGTGAGTTACAGAAGTCCCACTTGCCTGTGGCTTTCCTCCAGCCTCACTACCTGTGTTATTCTTTTTCCATCTATTGCACCCGGGTTCATCACGCCACCGACTAGTGAAGTAGAGAACGTCTTCATCGCTCCCGCCACCCACGAACAACGCTCTCAACCACCTGTCCGAGCGATTACCCACACTATTACAGGTGAGCTGAACACCATTCACCCCCAACTTTTACAACACAGTCATTGCGCTAGGTTGTGGCGCTTCCTTCTCCAATTTTTTGTTTTGTAGTTCAAATCTTTGTTAGGAACAACAGATACAGGATACACCTTTCTGAGAGAAAGACTTCCCTTTCTCAGGGCTTGAACAATGATTTGAAATGCAATCAGGATGAAATAATATAGATTCCGTAGGACACACTAGCCTTAATTCAGCCACAATTCAGGCTTTCTATATAACTTCAACCTGACTGCATTTCAAATCATTGTTCAAACCCTGAAGAAGGGGGGTCCTTTCCCCTGAAATGCGTTGGCTGTATCTGTTGTTCCTAACAAATAAAGATTGTAAATGGATTGCAAGTGAGATGCAAGTTAGTACTAGGCACTCCTAACCAGACACTTATTTCATAATAGATTGGAAAACCATCTCATTATCAGGACAAATTAGGCATTAGTAGAAAGTCAGGGGTGATGGGAACATGTGTCTGTGTTCTACAGAGGAAAGGGAAGTGTCTGCGAGCAATCAGTAAGGTTTTTCTTTCACTCTCTAACCTGCCCTGGATAATGACAGCTGGAATCTGATTGTCAGCTATGGTCTACGCGCTTCTCTGCCCCTCTAGTGCTCAGACACTTGTGTTACCAGTCAATACACCTGTGATCAGAGGAGTCAGAATGGAGGGAAGGTTTCCATATGTTGTACCCTCTTCAATCTCTTCCAGATGTTGCACTGCTCTATGGCATGTTCTGTGTTCTGACGCCCCTCTCAGTAGAGCCATGTTTCATCATGTAAATATGTGGCCAAAGGTAATATAAAAACCGAGTGTCAAGTGACATGACCGTCACGGGGAAAGCTCTTTTCTCCAGCAGGTTTAAGTGATAACATATGTGTCCCAATCATCCCCCACTGCGGCCATGATGCCTGTCATCTAGGAACGCACTGCAGTTACTATAGAGATCCTCATTTTGTATAAACGTATTTGTAGAAATGCAACTTCTATGTTTTATTATAAGAAAAAAGAGAAACAACTTCTACAGTATGTGTTCCAGTCAAAAAGCAGGACATCGATTTAAGCCTCTAACCCTTTCCCTGCCAAGGGTTTTTTGTAGGGGTGTCCCAATACCATTTTTTTCAAGGCAAATTAAAAGGTACTGAAATATTATTCAGCAATAGAGGACTGCAGATCCCTTCAGGCTATGATTATACAGCAATTAAACAGGGCTGTGTGTGGTCTCACCAGGGTTGCGTGCAGATCTCAGCAGGGCTGCATGTGGGTCTCTTCAAGGCTGCGTGCAGATCTCACCAGGGCTGCATGTGGGTCTCTCCAAGGCTGTACAGGTGGGTGCCAGGCTCTGTGGACGGGTGCTGGGCTCTTCGGGCCGGTGCGGGGCTCTCCAGGGCTGTACTGACAGGTCGAGCTCCAGGGCTGTACGTGTGCGTGTGGGACTGTCCTTTGCTGTTCCGGTCTTGGGAAGGACCAGGAGGTGATGTGGAGCTGGACCGGCGCAGTCAGAGACAGCTGCCTAAGGTCCCCAGCAAAAGTCCCGAAGTACTCATGAAAATACCCTGTATCGGCCTCCATACCAATACTAGTATCGGTATAAGGACAGCCCTACTTTTTTGCACACGTTATAATCCACATTTTAGGTCTGAACATTACTTAAAATGAGAGATACCCCCGAGAGATATATATTTCTTGAAAGCAGAGACCACGTAGAATAAAATGGTGGCAGTTGCAAATTTTGATGTCACATGATCTTAGCAAAAGTCTTTATCAAACCCAAAATTTCAGTAAGAAAATACACTTAAGTTTTGTGCACAAAAACACAGCATAATACCCAGTTTTTTGTAAAATATAACAGATGAGGTTGTGCCAAATAAATAGATACCCAACTTGCTAAGCCTTAAAATGGCATGCCCCCTTGAAACAGCGGTACCCCAAATTGTCCATCGGTGAAGCTTTTCGCCTGTGCAGGTCATCAGTTTAGAGTTAACCGTGAATATTGGCCCTAGTATGTTTGCTCTCACTCTGGCAGACACGTTGTGTTTGTACATAGGCGCGTCCGACGCCTGCTTGCTTTAGTATGCGCGTGTTTGTAAGGACTGAGAACTTTAAAGATTTTTGCGGGGGTACTTTTACATTTATTTTTATTTTTTTTTGTTACTTAACTCCATTGTTAGGTAAGTATATAGGGGGGCTCACAAGCATCCTATGTGATAGCACATTGGAGGTGACATTAGGGGTCTATTAGACAGCTTCCTTTAGCCATGGAATGACAGCTGGGAAGCCAGAAGTGATACAATCAGTGAGATTAGTAAACAGATGTTCGCTGGTCTCTCTCCTTGCTTCCTGCCAACACCCAAGAAGCCAGTCCTGGGCCCGCAGGAGGGGCAGCAGAGTCCAGGAAGCAAGGTAGGGGTTGTTGGGTGGGAAGAGGGGTCTCTATTAATTGGCCCCTGGAAGCAATCTGGCAGCTGTTCAGCCGCTAGTAGCCGCCCGACAGTTGGCTTTACACAGGTAAATATAGCCGCCAGGAGTCTGTTTACAGGGGCCCGCTGCCAGCTCCTTAAGGCATTTGTAGCTGGCAGTGAAAAGAGTTAAAGTGTATTTCCTCTCTTGCAGTCAGATCTGAGAAAACCCCTCTATATATTTGTCATGTGCTCCCATTCACACAACATACCTACATTTTAACAAGAATTCTTACCATAGAATGACAGACAGTGTTCAAACCTAGTTTACTGATAATAAGATCTGCCAGCACAGTACACACGGAGTTAATTTCAGTAAACATTACCTCCCCATCCAGCTCAAGCCCTCTCCTTGAAATTACAGTGAAGAGAAAAACTTAAGTTTTGGGGTTTTCAGAATAGAGCAAGTAACAGTTTTCAATTTATGTTTATAGTTATGCGATGTGAACGGTAAAACGTAACGAATATAAAATAGGTGTTATCCCGATTTGGCTGCAAAAGTGGAAATACACTTGAAATGAGAAGTTGTTACTTTTTTCCCAGTATAAGTATAATTCAGTTCATGTATAAAATCCTTTTCTAACACTGGTAAACATCAGGAGCGGTGTGTATGGAAATGTACCCGTTCATCTGTACACAATTATGGAACTTTGCTGGGATATTGCTCTGTTACCGGGATTGTTGGGCAAAAAAATAAAGTATACGTAAAGCCAAAACTTTTTATTTTTTTTGTTGATAGCAAAGGGAATAGTTATAACACCGTCAGTCTATTTTCTGCAATCTGTGTGCTATTAGAGAGATTGTAAATGTGGGTTATAATATCTGTGCAAAAAGGGCTCTGGCAGAGAAAGGGTTAAAACATGACATTTTCTTCTATGGGATTACTCGGCTGGAAAATCGCTCAAATTGTAAAGTGTGAATTTCCTTAACCCGGGGCTGCTCAATAAAATAAACACTTTCTGCTGTCTCCTAGATCTATATTGACTGATTGAACGCAGAGCAAGTCAGTATCTGCAGTACATATGAAGAGGGCTTTGAGGTCACTTCCACCGTCAGCTTGATCAACATTTACAAATTTAGAAATTTTGCCTCTTGACATGAAATAAATAAAATGTAAATTAAGATTAGTTTTTAGATGGAGTAGGGAAATTTTAGAGCCCCTTCCAAGTTTTTTTTGCTGTGTCCCCGTTGGGGAAATTTTGTTTTTATTCCCAATGACCTCTGTCTGTAGGACAGGAAGTGAGGTTAATCTTCACTATGGGGTCACAGACATCAATAAAAACTTGACTGAGGTTGTAGTCCTTCCTCAATATAAACAACGTGTTATATTGCTGTATGTATCTCTATTAAATAAATTTTCTCTCATTCCCTATCTCATTGGGCACCTGTGAGTGGAGTTCTCATTTAATGTACAATCACACCTCATGAAGAAAAGATTTGATGAGCTGCCATTGTGAACGTCTAAATATACTAGTTGCTTGGCTATTATGCTGACCCGGTGCAGTGATATTTTATTCTGCTACATAATCAACCCTATTTGTAGCTCTTTTGAAGTGTTGCACAGTTCTGATAATAATTATAATGATACTCCGTATCTGATATCATTTCAGACAGCGGGCAGAGCAGTGGCACCAGCTCAAAAGGAGATCGCCTTAGTGCAAAACTGAAAACTTTGCCCGGAGCAAAGGACCCCTATGAAGCGAGCTCCAATAAAGACATAGGTAAGTGGCAAATGAATATCACTGCTTACCTATATATTACCCAACAGAAAGATAAATAAAAGCTGACATTCATGTAGGGGTTGGGATAGTTGTTGGGTGAGGAGGTTAGATGTAGGGGTTGGGTGTAGGTGTTAGGTGATGAGGTTAGATGTAGGGGTTGGGTGCAGTTGTTAGGTGAGGTAATAAATATAAAAAATAATTAAAAACAAATGTAAAAAAAATAACAGTGTGAGGGCCCCCCTCTCAAAAAATACCAGACCCTTTAGGTCTGGTAGGAGAGTTAGGAGGGACCTCAATTTAAAAATATTAAAAAAAAGTGTGTGGGGCTCCCCCCCAAAGTCATACCAGGCCATTTAGGTCTGGTAGGAATTTGAAGGAGTAACCCCACCTCCAAAAATGGGGAAAAAAATACGTGGGATCCCCATAAAATTCCCCAAAAGACCCTTGATCCGAGCACAGGTCTGGCAAGGCAGGAAAGGGGGGGGGGGGGGCCCACGTGGTTCCCCCTGGAAAAGCAACTTGTCCCCATGCCGACAGTTTACATTGGGCCGGCACCTGCCAGAGTCTTCCCACAGGTCGTGAGCAAATGAAAACAACTGGGCGGAGCCAGCTGTGATGTCACGGCCGGCCCCACCTAGTTGTTGTCATTTAATGACAGCCCAGTGTCCTCAAATAACCTCCACCTAGTTGTTGTCAGTTGCGGGGAAAACGGTCTGCTTCGGCAGTCTGTTCTCCCTGCTTTGGCTTTCAGCTGAGCCGAAACATATGCGCTCAGGTCTGCTGAGCCGTTCGCCTGCCTTCGGCTGCTGTATGTGGTATTGTGAATGACCCGTACAGCAGTCCTTCGGTTCAACTGAACTGAAAGGCTCAGGCAGCTGAAGCTAAGGCTAGATCCTTCGGCTCCTTCGTTAATAACCTTCTATGTATTTCCTTCAAGTTATAATAGTCCTACCCTTGGGGTGCTGTTACTTGCTTGTATTCTCTTCCCTTGTCAGCCCGGTGTCAGACTGCACCACTTTAGCAGCAGGTAAAACAATATTACATTCTAATGAGTCCATTTATATTTTGGTGTTCAGATGTTTCATACACAGACCCTCTGGGGCCACAAGTGGAGAGACCGAAAACCGCAGCAAAGAGAAGAGTTGAGGAGGAAGAGTTTGCTGATGAAGAATTAGGAGAAGATCTCCTTCCTGAATAATTCCTTCCCTGAACTTTTAGAACACATCCAGTCTTTTCATATATCCAGAATAACAAGCAGCTTTGTAAACGGTTGCCTCTGCCTTTTCTTTCCCTAGACTCTGAGAACTGTCATCTCACGCCCAGTGTAAACATTGCTTTGTTTACATTCTGGCTGCTTGTTTCTGCACAGTAACTCCTTACAAGGTCTGAGAACAATGAGGTCATCGGCTGCACATACTTGTTTGGTTCAATGTCTTTAGTGCCAGAAGCCATAAATGATGATTTTTGTAAATAATTATTAATTATGTCAGCAGCCTCGCAGCTGCCTCCTCCCCAACATTATCACGTACAACGCATGACCACCAGCCCAGCCTGTAGTGTAGTGCTGGGGGAGACCGAGGCCTCTGTGTCTTCAGTTTCTTTCTCTAGAACAATGAAGAGACATCACGGGTCTGTTGGAACCCTAATGACTAATTAAAGAGGACCTGTTGTCAAGAGGGAAGGAGACATACTGTGTCCTCTGTTTCGCCAGCACAAAGTGGGGACCTCAAGGGTCTGTTACTGGGGACATTAGGGGTCTATTACTAAGACATCAGACCCCTCATGATGTAATGATGTCTCATTAAAGCGGACCCGCCAGCAGGGGTTTTGTCCCCTTGTGACAGTAAATAAGTAAAATAAAATTTGAACTGTGCTGTGGTGCATTACTGTACATACATTAAGGCGCATTGCATCACGTAAGCCGATTCTCTTTGAATGGGCTGCCAACATGCCCCAACTTACAGGGCCTAGTTCTAGTTTTGCAGTGTATTTAAGCACATTATCTTGCATGCAAATGTGTGTCACATTAAGGCAGCCCATTCAAAATGAACGCTGCCAATGCACCATTAGACAACGCACTACCAGCAGTTGTGGTGTGCTACAACGCAGGTCAGTTGCCTTAGTGCACTGGGGCATTAACTCACCTCACTGCAGATTGTCAACTACCATAACACATAAGTAAGAAACCAGCCCCAAGGTTTGTATCTTAAGGGGTTCTTAAATCCGGCGGCATTTCCTGGTCACATGATTGGGAACCCATCCTAATTTCCAATGTAAACAGTTACTGGGAACTGTCAGTGGCAGCTCTTTCACAGTGCTTGGGGTGTGCAATTGAGCATGCTCCAATCACAAAACTGCAACGCTGACCGCACGCAGATATGGGGCAGCAATTTTGCATAAAGCCCACCACTGTGCCACCACATTTATGTGTACAGCCAGTGGGCACAAGGTGTAAGAGGTGGGCAACTCCTGCCATCCAGCTGGAACTACAAGTCCCATGAGGCATTGCAAGACTGACTGACAGTTACAGGCATGACTCCCAGAGGCAGAGGGTCGGAGGCTGGTGTAAGTAAAGGAAAAACATTGTATTTGGCTATATAATACATATACCTGAGGTAGCTTATTTACAGTTTTGAGTACCTTCGATTTTCACTGTTTTGCTACAAGGCACAGTTTAAAATTTACAAATATTTGTTATTTATTATAATTATTAGTTTTATTGTTTAGATTTTGTAAGTTATGTTGTATTTCGGTGTGCTAAAGCCTCATTCACACTTTCATTAACCACTTCAAGACCAGGTGTTTAGACCCCCT